CTTTTTTCACACAGAGTAAATTATGAGCTTCATCATAAGTAATTGAGAAATTCTTAAAAAGGCATACTATATAATCTAACTTAATAAATCTTAAGTTCACCATAATCTTGGCATTGCTTTCGTGATCTCTAATATTTTTTTTTTAATAATTAAGATATTCTAATATTATTGAATAAAAAATATACAATACAATTAGCTTTCATCATTTATCTGACTCACAATATGAATATTAATTTTAATTGTTAATTTAATATTTTCACTATCATAATTGAAATTTAAAATCAAATAAATTTTTTTTTTTTAAAAATCTAATATCAATGAATCTTAATTATTAAAGTGATCAAATTTTTCCTATGATAGAAAATTAAAATTTTTCATATGAATTTATTATACTTTTAGGACAATCTCAATTTTCTCGAGTTTCGATTATGTAGACAGAGATTTCGTCTGTGCTTTAATTATTATGCAGCAATCAAAATAATAATAAAAGTAAAAAGATTTTTCAAGTAAAAATATAATCAGTAAGAAATCAAATTTTTAGCTTGAAAACTTCATTTTTTAAATTATCATTCCAAAAAGTAATAATTGGTTATTCAAAAATTGATTTATGATTTGATAATGTGCAATGTAAAATGAATATTAGAAATAAGAATTTTTATATTTATACTACATACGAAAAATTTTCTAATAATTGAAATAAAATATATCATTAAAATAGATGAATTATTTTTTTTAATATTCAATAAATGATATCAAATCAATTAACATGTTGATGAACAACCTGTATCCACATTTTCAGCTTTATTTTAAGGTAAATAACAATATGATTTGACTGCATTTTCAAATATCTCCCTTAGCTTTTTCCGTTTTTCTTATAATATTTTTTCTTAGTTTTTTTCTAAATAGCTTAAAATAATAAAAGTATCTTCTATTCCACAAATCCAGTATATATCTTTAAATAATCCTGAAGTACTACTTTCTTTTATTAACAGCTCGTCAACTGTTTAACTAAAAGTTGTTTATTTTCTTTATTTTACATTAGGCTTTTGCTAATCTCCCAAACAAATAGCTGCCATTTGCACTTCAATTTCTAATTGTTATGGATTAATTGCAAAAAAATTTAGTATTTAATTTAGAATTCTTACTCTTGTATTAAATTTACTCACATTCCTTTAATCAATTGCATGATCTAGGGCAGCATTTGTTATTTAAAAGGCATTTTCAATGTAAGGTATTGATCCAATGTTCGAAGTATTTTTAACAATATTTAATACTTTTTCTGAGTTATATTCAATAACGGCATTTTGGTTTTTTTAAAGTAAATCTGTAGAGATTTATTACATAACTTTTAAGAAATTTTAAAGCCTCCAAAATAAAGATTGGTAGTAAGTTATTTTATGTACATTTTCAGGTTTATTAAATTCAAGTAATAATACTTATATTTAATTTCTATCTTGATGAATCAAAATATTTCGATCTTCTTTTGTAAAGTTCAATTATGTTTCTTATTCATCTTTATCTTTTATTGCCTCAGTATAATCTTGTAATAACTCTTATTTAAATTTTTTAACATTTTGTAATATTTAATTCAGTTAATTGTTTTAAACAATTTAAATTTAATGCTTTATTGNGAAGTTATTCCTTCTAACCAATCTTACTATATAATACGCCTAATATAAAATGTGTAATAATATTCACCTCTATACAAATACCCTGCTGAATCTTTTGGATCAATTTAGATTGCTTGATTATAATTATATAGGGCTTTCTCATTTTGATTAATAACTTGATATAAATAGCCTAATATTTATGTGTGACAATATTCACCTCTATTGCAATAGGCTTTTGCATATTTTGGGTCAATTTGAATTGCTTTATTATAATCAGAAAATGCTTTTTCATTCTCGCCAATAATTTGATATAAATATCCTAAAATATTATGTGTGATATTATTCACCTCTATTAGTTAAAGCAATAGCATCTTTTTAATCAAGTTGAATGGCTTGATTAAGGTCATTTAATGGTTTTTCTTTCTTCACAAAATTTTTAGATAAATTACCTAATATATATTAAGTTAAAGTACCTCTTATGAAGTAGGATTTTGTCCATTTTGAATCAAGTAAGATTGCTTTATTGTAATCATTTAATGCTCTCTCATTTTAACCAATACTGTTATATAAATTTCCTAATATAACTATCTGATTTAATTACCTCTATTTAAAAAGGCTTTTACATCTATTGGGTTAAGTTTTATTGCTTAATTAAAATCATTTAATGCTTATTCTTTTTCACCAAAACTAGAATATAATAATCCTAATATATTATATTGATTAATATTTACCTCTATTTGTATAGGGTTTTGGATTTTTTGGATCAAGTTGGATTGCTTGATTATAGTCACATATTGCCCTCTCAATCTCTAAAATACAGTTATAAATATTGCCTAAAATAACAATTTATTAATGATTACCTCTATTTATATAGGCTTGAGAATATTTTGGATTAAGTTGGATAGCTGAAGAATAATCAAATAAGGCTCTCTCAATTTAACCTATAACTTGATATAAAAAGCCTTTAATTGAAAATATTAGTATTCACCTCTATTAATATAGGCTAATTCATTATTTGGATCAAATCGGATTGCTTGATTATAGTCATTTAATGCTTTGGATTTATCACCAATATTTTCATATAATTTGCCTAAAATATTAAGATTAATAGTAGTTGCCTCTATTATAATAGGCTTATGCATAATTTGGATTAAGTTGTATAGCTTGATTAAGGTCTTTTAATGCTTTGGATTTATCACCAATATTATAATATAAATTGCCTAAAATATTAAGATTAATAGTAGTTGCCTCTATAATAATAGGCTTATGCAAAATTTGGATTAAGTTGTATAGCTTGATTAAGGTCTTTTAATGCTTTGGATTTATCACCAATATTATAATATAAATTGCCTAATACATTAAGATTAATGGTAGTTACCTCTATCAGAATAGACATATGGATAATTTGGATCAAGCTAGATTGATTGATTATAGTCTTTTAATGATTTCTCTTACTCACCAATATTATAATATAAATTGCCTAATACATTAAGATTAATGGTAGTTACCTCTTTTATAATAGGTTTTTGCATCATTTGGATCAAATTATATTGATTGATTATAGTCATTTAATGCTTTGGATTTATCACCAAGTTTTTCATATAGGAGACCTAGCATATTAAGTGTAATAGTAGTCACCTCGATTATAAAAGGTTATTGCATCATTTGGATCAAGATAGATTGCTTGATTAAAGTCATTTAATGCTTTCTCTTACTCACCAATATAGCCGTATACATTGCCTAATACAGTAAGTTTAATAGTAGTCACCCCTATTAGAATAGGCACAGGCATAATTTGGATCAAGATAGATTGCTTGATTATAGTCATTTAGTGCTTTCTCTAACTCACCAAGACTAAAATAACAATTGCCTAATATATTAAGATTAATAGTAGTCACCTCTATAAAAATAGCCTTATGCATTATTTGGATCAAGTTGGATTGCTTGATTACAGTCATTTAATGCTTTGGGTTTATCATCAATTTAATCATATAATTTGCCTGAAATTTTAAGTATATTTAATTTACCTCTGTTAATAAAGGACAAGCAATATTTTGGATTTAATTCAATAGCTTAATTGAAATCTCTTAGAGCGTGCTCAGTTTTTCTTTCATCCATATAATAAAGCCCTTATAATATAAATTTTTGTTACCTCTACTCATAAATGCTTAATAACAATTCCCATCTATTTCAATAGCTTGATTATAATAGTAGAGTGCTTAATGCCGTTCATTCATATCATCAAAAATAGTACCTTATAATTTATATATATTATTACTACCAATTCTATTATAGGCCATCGAAAAAGTTGTATTAATCTCCAAACAGGTCTAGCAATCTTCCAATGCTTTATCAAATAATTATTTTCTCCAATAAATTGTTGCTTAAATTCAAAAATTCAATTTATACCTCTTTAATAATAACTTTCAGCATTATTATTGTTTATGGATATGCTATAATTTACATCTTCCAATGCCTAATCATATAATTTCATTTTTTCGTATAATTCACCTAAATTGATATTTAAAGAATTTAACTTCTTAAAGTGTAGGCTTCTGCAAATTTAGGATTAAGATTTAAAGCATTATTAACTTCTAATAATGCTTCTTCTGTTCTATAATTCATTTTGAACTCCTAAAAACGATTCCATTAAATACTTTTACTTAGCTTCTTGAATAATGCTCTAAAGCATCAGCATTATCATTTTCCTTTGAATATTTGTTGCTCATTTTTTTGATGTATCCAAATTTTTTTATATAATTATAAAAAAAATTTAGGGAATATTTTTATTAGGTAATATATCAAAAGAAGTTCAAATTAAATATATTTTTCTATATCACTATAATAACATTTGTAATGATAGAAATATTTTTGATATTGATTCATAAATTCAATTAAATCTGTATTATAATACAAATGAACTAAAAAATAAAAAAAATATAGGAGGATGTTAAAAAATTCAATTTGAAAAAAAATTGAAATAAGATTAAAATTCTTTATTTCCTTATTCAAGAACATAAATATCATTTTAATCTTGAAAACAGAAGAATAAGATCACTCATTATCAAATGATTGATGAAAAAATATTTTTTTAGTAAAATTATATTCCAATTAATGAGTGAATTAACCGTTTTTATTTTACTACCCAAAAATAAAATAGGACCATAAGCAGAAATTAAATCAGAAGCATCAAAAAAATGAGCATTTAACATTTTAGGAAATTGTTATTATTAAATAATTATATAAATCTCAAATATCTCGATTATTTTTTTAAATATTATTGTTTTGAGTATTATACTATTTTAATTGAAAGTATTTTTTATTGAATATGGGATATTAATTATCGCCTTTTTATTGTATATTTCTATCCCTTATGAAATAATATGTCCTCAAAGTTTATAATTCTTTCAAAATTATTTAAATTGCTTATGTGGGATGTTTTAAAAGTCATATTGCTTTAACTTAACAGTCTTTAGATTTTTTATAAAAAAAGCATTAATAAAAATAATAATTTGCCACTCTATTATAATTTTGAAATTAAATGGAAGCCTAATTTTTTCCTTATATTTATGAAGAACTAATAAATATCTACCCTTAATTACAAATTAAGAATTTTGTAGTATTGTTAATAGTTTATTCTTATTCAAAAAAAGAGTAATGAGGACTAAATTTTATTGGAAGAAGAATATTGATAACAAATGATAAACTTTTCATTTTTTTCTTTTAATACGTCTAAAAAGTATTGCGAAAATTTCACTAATATTATATTTTTTAGTATACATTGAGTATCTTAATCTATATTTGCATTTAAATTTGAATGACCAATATTAACTAAAATTAAATATTTATTGTTTATTGTAAAAAAATGGGAATTACTTGTTCAAATTGCTAAAATATCTTAAGAGGAATAGAGTATAAATATTCATTAAACTAGCCATCAATAATAAGAGCATTAAAATGACAATAATCAAAAGTTAGATACAGAATAAGTATTTGATTGTGAAGTATGGAACTTTTACAACCTTAGATGGTTTAAGAAAATTGTCTAAATAGTAACAATAACGAATGTAAATGAAAGAAAGTACTTCTTCGATGGTTAACTCTTAAGAATGTAAATAATTTTATATTAATAAATAGAGAATCAAGTAAAAATTAATCTGTGGGATTTTAAAATTTTACTAATTTAGAATAGCTAAATCATCTTAACTGGTCTGGAAAATATGGGTAATTGAATTAAAAGGTAGGAAAATGGATTACAACATGGAAAGGTGAAGTTTTAAGGGATGCAGGTGGATGGTACTCTGATGATGAAAAAAAATAAGGTTTGTGGATTGAACTTACAAAAAATTATAGAAAGTATATTATCATTCAATTATTTAAAAGTTAAGCTGAAGTATACGAATCTGGATATTATCTAGATGATTAAAGATATGGAATGTGGAAGTATATATATGATGAAGAATTAATGTATCGACCAAATTATTTATAATTTAGTGATGCTGGACGTTACAACTTTTAAGGTCAAAAGAATGGAAAATGGACACAATTAAGTGATAGATTTTGCTATTATTCTAAAATCAAATATAATGGTGAATATAAAAATGGAAAAAAGGTTGGTTTATGGAATATTTGGTATTAAGATGAATATAGATATATAAATAAATTGATGTATTTTATTAAGATTAAAACTATTTAAGTGGTGGTGGGTCATATAATGGAGATGGAAATAAAATTGGAAAATGGATTGAGTAGAGTGATGGATTTTAAGGATTCTCATAAATCACTTATATTGGAGACTATAGAAACGATAAGAAAATTGGTAGATGGGATATTTGGTTTAAGTAGGGAGATGGTTAGATACATGATATAATGTAAAATATTAAAATTAAATTTTTAAGTGGTGGAGGATCATATGATGAAGATGGTAATAAAATTGGAAAATGGGTTTAATTGAGCGAAGGATTTTAAGAACACTCATAAATCATTTATATTGGAGAATATAGAAAAGG